ACAACATAACAGTAAACACTTGCATGCACAATACATTGAGCAGCTGCAGACATGGCATGTACAGGCAAGTGAGGCAACTATACGTCCAGGCACAAGCAACTGCATTTTCTCTGCAGGAGGATGATGACATGTGAAGCCCTTACTGTGAACACACTAGAGTGAGGAAGCCTAGAATTGTCATCCACCTAACTCAACTAGACATAACCTGACTGCTGCCTGTTCCTTCTTGTTTGGGGAGTGGGTCATGGAAGAGAAAACTCACAACCTAGTAAAACAGTGTAATATCAACACAGTGAACCATATATATATATATATATATATATATATATATATATATAGAGAGAGAGAGAGAGAGAGTAAAGCCTCACTGGAATCATCAATTAAGAGCTTTCCTAGATTTATGTCCAATGTTTTCTAAACTCTGCAATGATACAATTTTTTACTTAGTGACAAAAGGCGCCGTGTGTTTTATTGTGGTTATCAGCCAACAACCAAATGTCCAGATCTCCCCGCTGTAGTATCAGTGTAGAGCTATATGATCCTCTTAAGTGAAAAATTGCCAGCAATATAGTCTAATATTGATATCTTCTGAAATACTTTGATATTACAGCACTACCAAAAGAATACTTACATATAGTGTTTAATCCTGACCTCCTTATGTGAATATAAGGACATAAATTTCAAAAGATAATAACAATATCTAGAGAACAATAAAAACAAACACAAGAGGATCTACTAGTGGATGAAAATTCCCTTTACACTTTCCTACAGCAATAATCAAATAATACTGGCCTGGTTAGTGTTTGCAACAATTGCGCCTTTCCTTACAACTCCAAGACCTAGATGTACTACCTCCACGCACAGAAGGCATTGAAACAATAAATGAGCACCTAGTAGGTCCCTACGTAATAAATCTAATTATACCCATCACGTCAAAAAATCCATAGATTCCAAGTCATGGCAACCACAATGAACATTTGGAGCATCAACTACATGTCCAAACTGTCTGGCAAACAACATCTATATAACCAGAAAATGCAATACACAATTCAAACTTCACAACAGTGAATTTAAAAATGAGGTAATTAAGTAAAATTGAACCTTATAAAATCAGCAAACCAACTTACAGCAGAAAAAAAGGTCAGTGTTTGAATGTTGAAGCAAGATGAACAAAGAAAATACCGAAAGAACTTACAGCAAAGTGTTCACCTCCTGAGCCTACCTATTGTACTCCACAGTATAACAATGAGAAAAGGAACACTTGCACCATGAAGATGGAACTTAATAAGCAACATGCCTTCCAAGTAAACTGAAGAAAATCTTAAAAGGACATATGCTCAGAAGTGTCATAGCAAAAGTTAAATGTCTGAAGAATGCAACAAATTATTAATAATGGATAAATACAATTCATTAGATGCTTACAGTTATTCTTAGGATTATAATTTTAAAGGTTGTATAGGACTTAATTAGTAAAGTATAAGAGAATCACCATAAGGTTTTTAGCCACCTGGAGAATGTGGCTTAATGAAAGGAAAGAGGAGGCTTTCTTGTGAAATAAAAATACAGTAAAGGGGCAATTGTTATTCCAACATACTCAGAACACTTTCTTTATCCACTTGCAAAGGAGAAGACGACACCTTGGGCTATATGCATAAGCTTCCTCATGGTCCGAGTAAAACATGGCCCATGATTTCCCCCAATGTCTGCAAAATTAAAGAAAATATCAGCTGCAACAAATTTAGTTCATGGGCAAAGTAAACAAAACATCTTCCTTTTTACATACAAGGGTAAATTTCACAAAACTACCATGAATTTGGGGGTTTGCCAAAAAACAACACAAGTTTTCTTATCAGAAAGATTCATGAATTTTTTCAAGTAAACTACCATACCTTGTAAGTTGTAACAGTGAGGCTAAGGTTAGTCTAGGGAACATGTTTTGGATAATTTTGCTGACATAAGTGATATATCTTCTATATTAGCTTTTTCCACTCCTATTTTCAAGGGTAATTTAGACCATTTAGCTAAGCCGTTAATGCCGCTAGCAACAATTTTCAATCATCATAGTATTTTTCTGTTGCTCTTAAACTTCATGACAATGTTTTAAATGTCGGATGTCGGGTTCATGTCGGATGGTTGAAATCCATGTCGGATAGCGAAAATCGGGGATATATCGGGGGACATTGACTAAATATCGGATTGCTATATCGGGTAGTGCGTATATATATAATATCATGTCCTAAATGTAATCTAAGCATTCATAAATTCAATATAAGCATATTTTATAAATTCTATAGACTAAACATATAAAAAAGTAAATAATATATGGATTTGGATTCATAAATTCTTTCTATCGGGTTCATAAGAAACCCTTAAACATGAGAATGGGTCAAACGGGTTTGGGTATTTATCACTAAACACAAACCCGATAACAAAAAACAGATCTTAAAAAAAGTACCATATCGACCGATTTTTCAAAGCTAAAAATAGGCTGATATGCCCGATATGACCCTGATATTTCCGATTTGGCCCTGAAAACCGATATACGAGTTGAAAACGTCCATGTCGTATCGGTCAAGCCCTCAAACCGATATGTCGGCCGACATGTCGGACATGTCGGCCGATATTTAAAACCTTGCTTCATGACAGTTTTCTCTAATAAAAAATTATGGTAGTCTTTGTGCAAATTTATCTTAAATATAAATAGCTATTATGAGCAGATTCACTGCAAGAAAAATTGAGAAACTTGTAAAATATGAGCTCTACTAAAAGAGCTCTTTCTGAAAAGAGTATAATAGTTATTATTGCAAAACTAATTTGGTATTAAACATTGAGTACTCGTTAGGAAGAAATAGAATAGCTTAAAGTCAAAGTAATATTCCCATGCACTTCTGATTAGCAAATGGACTACATATTCAAAAGTAGGTTTATCTAGAAGAAGGATTCAATTATTCTGACATGACAGTTCAAAAACTATATTAGACAAAGAAGATACACTTACACATGGAAGCTTGAAGCACAGCTAGCCGGACTCTGAATGTGTCAATCTCTACCATTGCTCGCATTTTACAAGTACAAACACAGGAACTTCAAAGTCCCAAAGAACACATAGCTAATGACCAAGGATGCCCATGGGGAAAAATCGTGAACTCGGCATCCTCCTGTTGTTTGAACTCCTTCTGCTGGTTCTCATAGGAGTCAGATAGAAGCGTAGGAGTCCATTATCTACATTTCCAGGAGAGGGATAATGGACACTCCGGCTTCGACCAAACCTGTATTCCCTTTTCCTTTGCAAATCCGGCCTAAACTTCTGAAGCTCCATACCGCCACATAAATTTCTGTTTACGCACTGATTAGCTCGAGGAGTATTGAGGCCATTCCCAAAGTGACGTACTCTACCGTGTGATTCACTCTTATCCCTTTGTCCCTCCTGACAAGTTACTGACAAAGACCTCTGCAAACAGTGTTCTCTTTTCTTCGTGAAATCCCTAAAAGGGCTAGTAATACTCCAATCCCACACCCTACTCCACCTATGTGATTTCTTTCTGCTACCATCCATACCATTTATGTCTTGATGAAATTCTTCATGGTACCTCTCTCTAATACCATCAGGCGAAGATGACTTTTCATCAACCATATTGTCGGCTTTGCTAACATCAATGGTTCCACTACATCTATCAGAATCAGTAACTACAGTTTCCCCTGGCAGCCGCCTCTTAATCCTGCTAGAACCATCGTGTGGCTCTTCGAGACAGGCAAATGAGCAAGTAAATGCCTTGCTCACCATCGACCCATCCCACGAATGCCTGGGTTTTTCCCATGTATCCTTGCCGGAATCATGAGATTCTCGACATACTCTCCAATCACAAGAATGCCTGAGATCACGATTCCTCTCTAAACGTTTATCCTCAAACCTCCCACTTTGCGAAGCCCCCTTGGATCTCCATCTCCACTTTTTATCCCTCAAATGCTTATCTTCTACAGATTCAACCCTCTCATCGACATGGGCATCTGATGTAGAAGCCTTTGCTTCAGACTCGATACGATCATGGGCATCATTACAATCATCTAATTGGAACAAAGAAAGCAGTGTCCTTCTAACCCTAACCTCGTTCCCCTTGCTCCGAGAATCGTGAACAGAGGAAGAAGAAGAAGAAGGGATCTCCACTATTTCACCCTGATGACCCGATGAAGGCTCGGGCTCGGGGATTTTTTCTACTGAATCGACATTCGATAACCTCTCAACTAAACAAGATGAGCAGAAACCAGTGAAGAACTGAGATGGATGCCTCACGCACCTCGTAAAGCTACCACCTTCCACATTCATCTCAACAAATTATCAACTTCAAAAGGATAGAAATTCAAAGCCCTAACCGACATAGAGAAATTACGGCAAAATCTTAGACAAGCCACAGGAATTGAGATCAAACCGCTTGAGAATCAAGAGAGACCGACAGCAGGAAGAGAGGCCGCCGGGGGAGTAACCGATGGAATCGCTCCCAGTTCGAGGCCCGGAACTCCAAAAGTCGATTCTTTTAAAGGTGAATTCGACGAAACCCTAGAACTTCCGCTGTGAAGTTGGCGAAAGGATCTCGGATTCGTGCGAAAACCCTAAATTAAATCTCTCAAATCTGGGATTTGGCGAGCCGTCGGAGGCTGATGCTTTAAATACCTAAAATGCCCTCACACTTCAAGGAAACGACGGGCGAGTCCTCGCAACGGTACACATGAAATCCTACCAATTGACGGTTGTACCCTTAAAAGTCGTAGCTCAGACCTCAGAGGCGTCTGGGGTTAAAGAGAGCAGGGCACACTAGTAATTTCCAGCTTGCCCTCGGATACTGGCAGAGGGTAGAGATTTAAGTGGCACATGTCACCGCTCTGGGAGCCGTTACAAAAAGTCAGTAGTTGTCGGAGGCTCGGAGGGGATTCTATTTTAGCAAATTAAGTACGTAAGAGCGAAATACGGAAAAAGCCCTTGTCAATTGATTTCCGTGTAGGAAATGTTTTTGGGAGTAGGGGAATGAAGAAGTCAGTCGTAAGTGCACGCTGGGAGGGTTAGTCACCTAGAACTTTTTAATTAGAACTGGGATAATTGGTAAAATAGGATAATTTTTTAACACTGAGATAATTTAATGGAACAATGATAGATAATTCTTGAGGTTGGATAATTTGGTAGGGTAATTTGGTGGGATAATGGTGGATAATATTATGAAGGGGATAATTTGATGGGGGTAACAATGAGTGTAAATTATTATTGTTAATAATTGTATATTAAAAATAATATAAGATTGATAAGCAATTGATTAGTCTAGTTACAACTATAAAATATAATGCAATAAAGTATCACTATTCATCTTAAATAATAAAATATTTTACAACTAAATAAAAATCTAAATTCCTAGAGTGACTCGACTTCCATCATCCCACATGGCCTCTGCCATAGAATTTTTCCAAGCTCCCGCAGCTGCTCGTTGAGTCTGTTGAGTCTGTAACTCATCTTCTTCATCGGAGTCATCATCTGCATCAGCAACATTTCGTGGAGCTTCTAGTGGAAGATCATAAATGTTGAAGTCATTATTTGTATTCTCCAATCTTAAAAAGTTATGTAATCCTACACATGCAACGAACATCTTTATTTGTGTGGCATACGGAAAACCTGGAGGTTGGCTCATGAAAATAGTGAATCTAGACTTAAAAACTCCAAAGATGCGCTCGACATAATTTCTAAGAGACGCATGCCGATGATTGAAAACTTCTTTTGAATTTCGTGGTCGTTGTCGATTATTAGCAGGACCGAACTCTGAAAGATGGTACCTTTGACCTCGGTATGGAGCAAGAAATTGTAACCTATTTGGATAGCCGCAGTCAACTAGATAAAATTTAACTGCAAACAAGAATATAAATATGAATGAGAAAAATATTGTAAAACTAAAAAATATGATTTAATTGATAGAATACTATGTAAAGATTATTACTCTGTGGAAGTGGAAGTCCATAAGGTCTACTCATTGCATCCTTCAAGACTCTTGCATCATTAGCAGAACCCTCCCACCCAGCTAAGACATAAATGAATTTGAGATCAAATGTGCAAGCTGCCAAGATGTTCTGAGAGAGAAAACCATGTCTATTTCGATAGGGCGTCTGATCTATGTTATACACCATGCACGGTATATGAGTCACATCTATTGCACCAATACAGTCCTGAATAATCAATGTGTCAGACCATCTCAAGTGATGTGTGTGGGGGCGCGCACGCATGTGTGCACGTGTGTGTGTCTGCGTGTGTGTAAATTCTAAAGCAATAATAATTACCTTGAAATAAGGCCAAAAGCGAGATTCTGATTTAACCTTATCAGGTGGATCAGTAGGGGGTGATGCCATCAAGCATGATGCTAAAGATACCAAGACATGTAATGCTTTATTGAAACATACACTGATGGTCCATTTTGAACGATCAAATCGATCAGTTGACTAACTGTGAGAAGAAAAATAGCAATCATCTCCTCAACACTAATGTGTTATGTGTCTTGTATATGGCCCCGCTCTCTCAAGATATTGCATAACTTCATGAAGCAATCTGGGTACATGCGGTAAATTCTACGAAAATCTTGAGGATGATTATCCATCTTGGATTGTAAGTATGTGAGACCAAGATCTGTAATGCAACGTCGATGACTTCGAAAATTAAGCGTATTTGCTATGAACTCCTGTGATAGACATCCTGATACCTTTGTGATCAGATCTGCAGCCTCAGCAGCTAATTCGATTATGTGAATGAAAAGATTATCATCGAAGTCTTCATGATGAAAATATAAAATGGGAAAATTTTGATCTTCCTCCATCCTATTAAATAATATAACCAATGAAATATAACCAATTTACATGAAACTTATGTGCATAGGAAATAAATAAAGCACTCTATTATTAGCACACAATGAGACTGATAACAAAGTAGCAATCAATTAAAAAATGTTGATATGTATGCTAATCGTTAATCACCAAACTACTGAAAAATAGAAGAAAACATAATATTGCACTACTCTTATCTACACATACAAGAATCATTTGTTGGGATGATACATATAATAGAAACTTCATCCATTAAATGCACCAAACTAAGATAGCTGACAAGTCAAATAACATAAGAACATAATATAAACAAATAAATAAAAGCATAGCAATATCCTAAAAATAAATAGTTTTGACAAATTGAAATGAAATTGATCCTAAAAATACTTTCCAAATCTTTAAAACAAACATGACATTATCCCAAGTTCCACCTACTCAATGAAAAATAGTTTGACAATATGAAATTCCACACAATCCTAACACCATAACAAATCTTAAAAAACATATAAATATCCTAAACTTCTAAATTACTACCTCTAAACATCTCCAAAGAAATCAGAATCATAATCTTCACCATTTGGATCAGAATTAGCTTGAGTCACATCCTTACCATCATTCATTATCTCACCAGTCAACCTAAAATGTAGAAACTCATAGCGGTCTTTTGCATCCATGTCAATAAAGGCATCCTTCATGTCCTGTGAGATATTGTCACTGAGTATATTCCATTTTTGTGGCTTAGTCAATTCAGAAGTAGACATAACAGCATCAACCCATTCTTTATTCCGACCTTTTCTTATCTTCCTCAACTCATCAACTAACTCATGAAAAGCTTTACCTACAATGACAACTCCCTCTCCTACCTCTTGCAACGATAACTGGGAAGATGCAGAGGATGTGGCTGCAGTACCAATTGACCTACGCCTTCGTTTACCATTATTCAGATTGGATGGTCCAGGACCAGAAAATGGCACATTATCACTGGGAACGGTGGTAGCATGTTGCATATCTACAGCATCATCTCCTCCATCCGGAGATTCCATCTTAGCATCAGCACCAAGTATGCCCTCCCCAACCACTTCCTCTAAGCGTGCTTCATCCAAGCCATCAGGACCTAAACCTATAGCTCCTTTGCCAGAAGCGCCATGATCTCCGCATACCATCAATATATCCTCAAAATTCTCGAAAAGTTTATCCTTGAGATTTGGAGTATTTGGACGTGCCTAAAACATGACATATGAAAGTAATTAATATTATGTACAAATTAATATATATGAAACATGACATAAACCAACCTCTAAAATGCCATTCCACACTTCGTCGGGACATGTAAATTTCTGTGTGGTAGGGTCCCAACCAAAACCAGAGTTATTTTTCATCAGGATCTCCACAGGTGCAATCTTTCTCTTCCATTGTTTTATCTTGTTCATTACATGATTATATCTAAAATCTTTTCCAAAATTTTCAACTAGAGGGGGTATCACATTCTTTAGAATCACATACTTTTTAAAACTGCCATTTGCTTGCTTATTTCCATTCTTAACTTCCTCTACTAACAGTCTAAGAAATTCGTTAGCCTCTGCTTCAGTCCATGTCATATAATCCATCCTTGCTCTTTTCTATCCCTCACTTTCTAGACCTCAAAATATTTCTTCTTGATCCTGACTCTGTGATCTTATGTCCATCCTATAACAAATTCAAAAATAACTTTTCAAAATCTCAAATATGGAATTGGATTAAAATATAAATGCATCTGATATAAAAAGAACAAGCACGTATATAATAATAATAATAATAATAATAATAATAATAATAATAATAATCCTATTAAAATACATATGGACATAGTGAGCTTGAAGTTGCACAAACTACAACATAAACTTGATCATCACAGTGGCATTGGCTTTTTCATGTGAACCTATTACAAGTTATTGTGCACGAGGTCCTGATATCCAATAATGCTTTCTAAACATATTAGACCATAAAAAAAACTTCTTCAAGAGTATATTACAAAGAATCAAGCGTGCAATTGATAAAGTGGCCCATGCAAGCCTCCAATTCTAGGCTACCAAATTGCCCTTAGCTGATCCATGTAAAATCCTTGTCTCGTTTGTGGTTGTGAGCGTTCATGTTGTTTGCTTTATTTGTGTGGATTATGGCCCTTCATATTTACTAATGATAACAGGCAGCAAAAAAATTACAGAACAATGACAACGATTCAAGAATGACAAAACAGTTTTCAGCTCTTTTGGCTCTCAACATGTTTAATAGGTGATCTTGGAACTTATATATGAAGTCAGGAAAATCTTGTGTTTGAAACGTGTAATGCTACATTAAGTAGTGTGTAATTGCATGCATATGAGACAATTATTAATTGTTTAAAACCAAAGCTTTTATCTTGGCGGCTGTCTGATGTTTTCTTATATATGAACCTAGTTACTTTTCCACGTATAAATTCTCCTACAAGCATAGTGCTGTTGTATATCTCACTCTATTCTACTGATAACATATGGGTGTCTGAAATCAAAATTATACAACCATTTTCACATCAGACAGAGTGCAGGATTTTTGACTTGTTTCCACTGCATGAAAAACTGTAAATGTATAATTTCTCGATATGTTATCTGTGATTTCATTTGTCAGTCCTTTACTACCGTCTACCGATTTCCATCAAGGATGGATAGATATTTGTACATACACATATTCCTTAGGCTGGGTTTTGGTATCTTAAAACTTAGAGCTTCTTTTTGGTATCTTAAAGAAGCTATCAGGTTCCCCTTATTTGACCAGGAGAAAAGGTGCAAACTTTCATCAAGAGGTTCCATAAACAAAATTTAGAGCTCACAGTTAGGATGTCTACAGAGGTGGCTATTGAACCATGTCAAGATGCCTAACCTGATACCTTCTAGCAAACATGGAAGCCATGAATCAGATACTTGGAAAGATCTGATAAAGCATGCAAAGAGATCCTATGACATACCAGCTAGGTTGGGATAAAAACATGATCCTCAGAGCAACAACAGAGCGGGTACTAGATCCAATAAGTAGTGAGGCTAGGACAACTAAAGGAAGTTACGTTCAGAGGTGGCTAAATAATAGAAAGAACTCCCTTACACAACCGAGTGCCTCCACCAACCTAGCTACACAAAGATAGTCGAAACAATATCCAAAAAAGATCTTTGCCTTCAAGTTGTTAGCGATTCTAAGCATTACAGCTGAACTTTTAGGACCTAAGGGCTGAACTTTGAGATGGTGTGCTACGTTGCATATTTGTATCATCTATACAAGTCACTATATTATTGGATGATGTGAGTAATTTTTAAAGATGGTAGAAAGTGAAGGGAAATGGGGTGAGGTGAGTTGGATGAGTTGATTGATGTGACACATTTCTTGTGTTTAGTTTATTTTTAAAAATAAAAAACGAGATGAGATGAGATGAGTTGTCACCATATTATTGGTTGATGTGGGAGATTTGTAAGGATGGAAAATGATAAAAGTGAAGAAAAATGGGTTTTGAAAAATAAAGGAAACTAACCAAACAAGCCCTAAGTTGATGGGGGAGAGAGGAAAAAACGATGAGATTTAGCGCGCGATGTTACCAAAAGTCAAACAAAAGGCTTGCACTTAATTTGTGAGCAAAAAATGTGAAGTTCAGAGCCTCATCTGCGTGCCGCAAGTAAATTTCAAAACAGTCCTCTTTGGACTTTTAATCCCCAAAAAAAGACCCGTTTTTAACTTATTTTCAGAAACCGGTCTGGTTTCAGCGATGAAACCAAGTCGGTTTCTGGAAAAAAAAATTCCGAAACTTTACAGGAGTTGAACTCCGGTGAAGTTTAGTAAGCTTTACTAAACTTCACGGGAGTTACTAAACTTCACGGGAGTTCAACTCCCGTGAAGTTTCATAGTTCAAAAAAAAGGTTGAAACCAGATCGATTTCTGAAAATAAGTTAAAAACGGGTCTTTTTTGGAATTACAAGTGTAAACGGGATTGTTTTGAAAATTCCTCCACACAAAATACGATCCTATAGGGGGGAATTACTGTACAGACTATGGGAAATTGATGATTGGCTACAAGCAGTCTATACACGCACAACAGCAACGTGTCACAGTTCCTTTCACTGATGTCAATATCTACCATCCTTTTGTACATCCGATTTGTCTTGTCCATCAAATAAAATTATCAATGATGAGTTAATCGGTAACTCTTCTTTTGACGCTATAATAATTAAGCTGTAAAGGATAGGTGAAACCAGTTAAAACTATCACACTCTCTTTATAGTACAAATACTTTTACGAAGACTCATGTTAATTTGAGCGAGGGCAAGTTGGAGACGTAGAGGAGGCCAGCTTTGAGCTCGGGTAAAAGCAGCTTCACAAGTTTAGATATAAATTAATGTAAACATCAGCGTTGTGAGGTTGTTCAGTTGAAAATGTTTTTAATCTTTCCTCGTTCTCCCTCTCTTAGATCTCTGAACAGTGTTTATTTCTTTTGAGACCGAAAGAACCTTAAAATAGGATATGCAAACGTGGGA